AATGCAATTTAAAGCATTTTTTGTTTCGATCAAAGCAGGATTTTTTCAAAAAAAATATCGATTATAAACCAATTTTAGCATTCTTTATCATTTATAATACCTAGATATGTTTTAAAATGCAATTTAAAGCATTTTTGGTTTCGATCAAAGTAGGCTTTTTTCAAAAAAATAACGATTATAAACCAATTTTAGCATTTCTTGTCATTTATAATACCTAGATATGTTTTTAAATGCAATTTAAAGCATTTTTTGTTTCGATCAAAGCAGGATTTTTTCAAAAAAATATCGATTATAAACCAATTTTAGCATTCTTTATCATTTATAATACCTAGATATGTTTTAAAATGCAATTTTAAGCATTTTTGGTTTCGATCAAAGTAGGCTTTTTTCAAAAAAATAACGATTATAAACCAATTTTAGCATTCTTTATCATTTATAGTACCTAGATATGTTTTAAAATGCAATTTAAAGCATTTTTGGTTTCGATCAAAGAAGGCTTTTTTCAAAAAAATAACGATTATAAACCAATTTTAGCATTCTTTATCATTTATAATACCTAGATATGTTTTAAAATGCAATTTTAAGCATTTTTGGTTTCGATCAAAGAAGGCTTTTTTCAAAAAAAATATCGATTTTATATCTTTAGTAGCATTCTTTATCATTTATAATACCTAGATTTGTTTTAAAATGCAATTTTAAGCATTTTTGGTTTCGATCAAAGTAGGCTTTTTTCAAAAAAATAACGATTATAAACCAATTTTAGCATTCTTTATCATTTATAATACCTAGATATGTTTTAAAATGCAATTTAAAGCATTTTTGGTTTCGATCAAAGTAGGCTTTTTTCAAAAAAATAACGATTATAAACCAATTTTAGCATTTCTTGTCATTTATAATACCTAGATATGTTTTTAAATGCAATTTAAAGCATTTTTTGTTTCGATCAAAGCAGGATTTTTTCAAAAAAAATATCGATTATAAACCAATTTTAGCATTCTTTATCATTTATAATACCTAGATATGTTTTAAAATGCAATTTAAAGCATTTTTGGTTTCGATCAAAGTAGGCTTTTTTCAAAAAAATAACGATTATAAACCAATTTTAGCATTTCTTGTCATTTATAATACCTAGATATGTTTTTAAATGCAATTTAAAGCATTTTTTGTTTCGATCAAAGCAGGATTTTTTCAAAAAAATATCGATTATAAACCAATTTTAGCATTCTTTATCATTTATAATACTTAGATATGTTTTAAAATGCAATTTAAAGCATTTTTGGTTTCGATCAAAGAAGGCTTTTTTCAAAAAAAATATCGATTTTATATCTTTAGTAGCATTCTTTATCATTTATAATACCTAGATTTGTTTTAAAATGCAATTTTAAGCATTTTTGGTTTCGATCAAAGTAGGCTTTTTTCAAAAAAATAACGATTTTAAACCAATTTTAGCATTCTTTATCATTTATAATACCTAGATATGTTTTAAAATGCAATTTTAAGCATTTTAAGTTTCGATCAAAGTAGGCTTTTTTCAAAAAAATAACGATTATAAACCAATTTTAGCATTCTTTATCATTTATAATACCTACATATGTTTTAAAATGCAATTTTAAGCATTTTAAGTTTCGATCAAAGTAGGCTTTTTTCAAAAAAATAACGATTATAAACCAATTTTAGCATTCTTTATCATTTATAATACCTACATATGTTTTAAAATGCAATTTAAAGCATTTTTGGTTTCGATCAAAGCAGGCTTTTTTCAAAAAAATAACGATTATAAACCAATTTTAGCATTCTTTATCATTTATAATACCTAGATATGTTTTAAAATGCAATTTAAAGCATTTTTGGTTTCGATCAAAGTAGGCTTTTTTCAAAAAAATAACGATTATAAACCAATTTTAGCATTCTTTATCATTTATAATACCTAGATATGTTTTAAAATGCAATTTAAAGCATTTTTGGTTTCGATCAAAGTAGGCTTTTTTCAAAAAAATAACGATTATAAACCAATTTTAGCATTTCTTGTCATTTATAATACCTAGATATGTTTTTAAATGCAATTTAAAGCATTTTTGGTTTCGATCAAAGTAGGATTTTTTCAAAAAAATAACGATTATAAACCAATTTTAGCATTTCTTGTCATTTATAATACCTAGATATGTTTTTAAATGCAATTTAAAGCATTTTTTGTTTCGATCAAAGCAGGATTTTTTCAAAAAAATATCGATTATAAACCAATTTTAGCATTCTTTATCATTTATAATACCTAGATATGTTTTAAAATGCAATTTTAAGCATTTTTGGTTTCGATCAAAGTAGGCTTTTTTCAAAAAAATAACGATTATAAACCAATTTTAGCATTCTTTATCATTTATAATACCTAGATATGTTTTAAAATGCAATTTAAAGCATTTTTTGTTTCGATCAAAAAAGGCTTTTTTCAAAAAAAAAACGATTATAAACCAATTTTAGCATTCTTTATCATTTATAATACCTAGATATGTTTTAAAATGATATTTAAAGCATTTTTGGTTTCGATCATAGTAGGCTTTTTTCAAAAAAAATATCGATTTTATATCTTTAATAGCATTCTTTATCATTTATAATACCTAGATTTGTTTTAAAATGCAATTTTAAGCATTTTTGGTTTCGATCAAAGTAGGCTTTTTTCAAAAAAATAACGATTATAAACCAATTTTAGCATTCTTTATCATTTATAGTACCTAGATATGTTTTAAAATGCAATTTAAAGCATTTTTGGTTTCGATCAAAGAAGGCTTTTTTTCAAAAAAATATCGATTATAAACCAATTTTAGCATTCTTTATCATTTATAATACCTAGATATGTTTTAAAATGCAATTTAAAGCATTTTTGGTTTCGATCAAAGTAGGCTTTTATAAAAAAAATAACGATTATAAACCAATTTTAGCATTCTTTATCATTTATAATACCTAGATATGTTTTAAAATGCAATTTAAAGCATTTTTGGTTTCGATCAAAGTAGGCTTTTTTCAAAAAAATAACGATTATAAACCAATTTTAGCATTCTTTATCATTTATAATACCTAGATTTGTTTTAAAATGCAATTTTAAGCATTTTTGGTTTCGATCAAAGTAGGCTTTTTTCAAAAAAATAACGATTATAAACCAATTTTAGCATTCTTTATCATTTATAATACCTAGATTTGTTTTAAAATGCAATTTTAAGCATTTTAAGTTTCGATCAAAGTAGGCTTTTTTCAAAAAAATAACGATTATAAACCAATTTTAGCATTCTTTATCATTTGTAATACCTAGATATGTTTTAAAATGCAATTTAAAGCATTTTTGGTTTCGATCATAGGAAGCTATTTTCAAAAAAATATCGATTTTATATCTATAATAGCATTCTTTATCATTTATAATACCTAGGTATGTGGCAATTCATTTTGAATTTTGAGATACCTCACTAGACCAACTTCATTCTCATATATCGAAGCTTTTCGGCATGTGATTCTTTTTTCTTATTGCATTAATCAATAAAGATACTAATATCTACAAAATTATGAAATAAAATTTGGGAGCCAGATATCGACAGTTGATCATAATTGAGAATTTAGCAAAAAATATGCAAATTTTTGAGTTCAAAGTTAATTTTCACTACTCAAACTTCTTAAAATCTGTAGATTATGTATGTGCTGATTGTATTTATAAATAAGATCTACAATAAACCGCAATCTTAAAAATTTAGAAAGCCTTTTATAGTCATGAGGTCCAAAAAATGACATAAAACCCAGAGTTTTCTTGAACTATTTTCAACTTTTAGGGACCAATATGCATCAAAAGTAGATCATGTGGATACTCATAAGAAAGCTCTAACTTGTATCTATCAAATCTATCAAAAAGTTTGAAGACAAACGGATAAGTAGGTGAAGCACAATAGCATTTTAAAATTATATAAAGTCCAAAAATTCAAATCCTCTTTTCTCGTGGACCAGGCACTTCAGAGAGAAAAAATTATTTTTCCCATAAACTAAGGCCCAATGTCTACAACCTAAGCATATAAGCTAAATTTTTGACAAACTTTTCACTTTTTCGCTCAACGTGTCTCGTTCTTTAAAACTAGTGAATGTGTGCCAATCAGTTCTTCCATAGTTTCGTCTTCCATCCGTCTTTTGTGATTTCCAACTTGCACATAGTGCAATGAAGTCACCTGTCAGAATGTAATTGGGCCCTAACGCTGTATCAAATGGTCTAGTTTGTCTTGTATGTCGGTTATACTAAGTTCGTGTTTTATAAAATGTTACAAAAAACTAGGTTTGTTTGGAAGGAAGTTTGAATCCAATAGCTTGTATAGTTGTGTCTAAATCTACTAATTCTAATTTTACGATAAATTTTATAATTCTTAAAATTAACATCTGTTTTTAGCTTGGTTTCCTGTAACGTGATAAACGTTGGATTAAATTCATTACTTAGGAATTCTAACTCATTGCGATTAACGTTGAAGCCTCGAATATTCCAGTTAAAAATTGTTGAAGTGCTTGCCATCTTGTGTGACTTTAATTATTTGGATTTCAGCTTATCTTTTCAGTTCGCTGCACGTTCTGTTAAAGCTGTTATGCTCATTCGATCCACAGTTCATACATTATTGTATCTTGTGCATTTCTTTGATTTCGACACATATTTAAGATGTGACCGAATTTATGGCATGTGAAGCATCTCATTGGTGCTGGTATTTATGGACGTACCTTTAATTTGTAAACAACCAATTGTAAGGTATTCGGGTGGCTCATGCCAAAAGTTACGAATGCAAGTCCTGATTTGACGGGCTCATTGAAATCGATTTTGATCATTTATTGAGGTAGCTTCAAGTATTCTAGAAATGAGTTTCCATCTTCGTATTTAAGATCATAAGCACTCACTACTCCTTTGCATAAATTCAATGTTCTATGTTCTGTTGCATGCTGCTGCGTGGAAGTTAAAAAGCGTTTTATTGCATCTGATGTCAAAAACTTTTTTAAACTTGTTGTTTTGTTTTTGTTATTTAAAAATTTTAATAGAGAGAAAAAGGTGAAGATTAATTAAATTAATAGAGATTTTTTGAGAAAAGACGTGTTTAAAATGTTTTAAATCTTTATTAGTAGCTACAATTTCAATAAATCTTTAGATTACTGGAAATCTAGAAGGAAAAATCAACTTTTAAGTTCGAGAAATTTTCCAAAGTAAAATTGTGAAAAAAATATGACGAAATACTTTAAATTTAACTCTGGATCTTTTGTTTTCTAGTTAACTTATCGCAGCATATTGGGCTTATAATCTGTTTATAAGCATCAATCATGTCAATAAGATTATTAACTCGATTTTTCAAAAATGGAAGAAGCCTTTTGTTTACAAATAGAAGACATATTTACCAGTCAAGAGCCGTACAGAACTTAGCAATTCGAAAGAAACCACTGCAGGTATATTTAAGAAACTTTAAAACTTGAATCTTTTCAATAGTTCAATAATTTTTGACAAATAGGATCCAATTCTGGCTGACTTAAATGTTGCAAGAGAACAAAATAGTTTCACAAGATTCAGTCGACGATTGCTGGTTGATAACGTTCTAAATCGCGTAACAAGCCCCAAATCATATCTTTTGAGAGCTGAAGCTACAAAAAAGTAATATAAATTTAATTACGTAGTTCTTGAAAAGAAATGACCTTGAAAAATTTTCTCGGATTTTGCTTCTTCTTATTTTTTGGTGACAGATTTGCTTTTGGTGATAGCTTGCCATTCCTTTCACTTGTTGGATGTAGTTTGGCTAGTGGCAATGGATTGATTACTAAGGAAGACGAATTAGAGAGCATTTGTTGGGAAATTAGAGTAAGATCAATAGATTATTAAATTATTGAGCAACATCAAAGTAATTTTTATTATATTTTATCAGGAAGCTGTTGTTAAGTATCAAAGTAGATTAGAAGATAAAGTCACAGACACAAGGTTGAATGAGGATTTACAACTAAGTGATTTAGACATCGGTCCACCCTTAGCTAAAGGATGTTCGGCTGTTGTTTATAGTGCTAATTTTAAAAATGCGAACGGAAAAGAAGAAAAGACAAAAGAAAGTGAAAGTTTAATGAACAGGAACGAAAACGATACTTGGAAAACTGATATTGAGCACGATGGAAACGTCAACTTATTTTCGTCTTCAAAGAGTTTGTCCGAGATTGTTCAGAATATTAATGGGAGCTTTGATAATTTATCTGTCCCTTCTTCATCAAATATTAATGCAACAACAAAGGATTCTTCAGAAAAGACCAGTAAAATTAGTCGCGTAGTGAAATTTAACAGTAAAGTTACGGAGTATATTAATGAGGGACACGATCTTTCTGATGATGAATTTAAAATGACTGCAAATTCTAGTGAAATTGTAGACTCTTCAATATATACTTATCCTTGGGCATTAAAGATGATGTTCAACTATGATATTCAAAGCAATGCTATGGCAATATTAAAGGCAATGTATAAGGAAACAATTCCGGCTAGAAATCGTTTAAATAGAAACGACATTGGAAACTGGGAGAATCATATTGCTGAGCAAACAATTATCCTTCCACCTCATCCTAATTTAGTTCTAATGCCTACCTTCTTTTGTGATAATATACCAGAATTGCAATGCTCTCAAACACTTTATCCAAATGCTTTACCCGCAAGACTAAATCCTAGTAGTGGATATGGCCGTAACATGAGCTTATTTTTATTAATGAAGAGATATAACTGTAGTTTGAGAGAATATTTAGATGAGTATAGTGATTTATCGACTAGAACGAGAATCATCCTGTTGGCACAATTACTTGAAGCAGTCGCACACATTAATAATTTTCAAATAGCACATCGAGACTTGAAAAGTGATAATATTTTAATTGATACTGCATCAGACTCTTTGCCTTTACTCGTTTTATCTGATTTCGGATGCTGTTTGGCTGACAAAAGTCATGGACTTCGATTGCCATATCAATCGAATGAAATTGACAAAGGAGGAAATATACAATTAATGGCACCAGAAATCGTTTTGAAACAGCCTAGTATGTTTGCCATATTAGATTATACAAAGTCGGATTTGTGGGCTTGTGGAACAATTGCTTATGAAATATTTGGCTATACAAACCCTTTTTATAATGATCTGTCAACAAACACGAAAGCATTGCGTAATATGGATTATGATGAATCTATGCTTCCTGAATTAACAAATGAGGAAATTCCAGCGGTAGTTAAAAAGCTGATAGAAAATATTCTCCAACGAAGTCCTAGAATGAGATTAAATTGTGATGTAGCTGCTAATGTCCTTGAATTATATTTGTGGGCACCATCTTCATGGATTAAATACAAAAGGATTCCAACAAATAATGAGGTAAGCCTTGAAAATACTATTATTAGGTCATGTTCTGAATTTAATTTATTCATTCTTGTAGATCTTAGAATGGCTTTTAAGTTTGACAACTAAAATTCTCTGTGAAAGAGGATTAGGAGCTGTAAATGAAAAGTTTATGGCAAAAAATCGCAGAACGTATACTGAATATGTGTTAATTTCAACATTTTTATCTCGTGCGAAATTACAGAATATTCGCAAAGCTTTATCATTTATCCAATCAGTTTGAGTACTCCTTTTTTTATTTATCATAAATCTTAATTAAATTATATATTATATAAAAGTCCAACAATAAAAGTAATATTTATTTTTGTGAATTATTCCATGAGACTGGACCTGTCGTCACTTATGTTGGATATATTTATATTTGTTCTATTGCAACTCCAAAAAGTATATATCAACCCTTGAATATCGCCACTACTCCTCAAAAATCCTTTAATGTCATTAAAATTCTTTTGGACTGGAACCATCTCGAGCACTGTTGAAAAAATAGAAATTATGAGTTCTTTTTGATTTTATAGGAACAAAATAATCTTACAGTCATAGTCATCAGTATCTATATCATAAATTAATTTAACGTAGCAGCTGTGGTCATTAGAGAATTCAAATAAAACTTCCATCAAAGAAGGTCTGTCTTCAAACTCAGTCACGTTGATCCTTAATCCCAAATGTCCAAATATCATCTTGGCTTCTTCACAAATCATTTTCGACTTTTCTCTAAGAAATTCATCGATCGTACTAAATTTTTCCCTAATTGACTTGTTCCTTCCTTCAAGCTCCTCAAGATTTAAATAAATCTCTATACACGAAAGTTTTGTCTGAAAATAATGTCAATAAATCTCGAATTATTGGTTTTTAATTTAATTTTATTCATTTTACTTGTGAAAGATCTTCCATTTTTGAATATTTTGTGCTTTCGACAGCTTTACTAATATTCTTCAGTTCCATGTATTTCTTAAACTTTACCATCAGCTCATGATTAATGTCAAATAAGTTATTTATGACCTCTGATGTCTTTAATTTACTCATTTTCCCAATTGTTTTGATTTTGTTGTCAGCTAGATTCACCGTTGGATTTATTCAAACTAAAGTTGCATTCCCCTTTAAAAGCGTAACAGTCAGTTTACATTTGAAAATCTAGTATTTTTCAGAAAAAAATTTGGAACAGAAAATGTTATTCAAAGGATTTTTAAAAAAAAATTATTAACAAGTGAAATACAGTTTAAAATTAGTAAATTAAAGCATAAACGTCAAATATAATCTCAAAAGATTATTTGGAGATATAAAGTTTGGCATTTAATATTGTATTTTTAAGGTAATTGATAAATGTTTTCTTTTTTGGGCAGGGTTTATTGTTTTGATTGAATAAATATACATAACTTAATTAAAGACTATTTATTCTTATTAAATATTTAAACTAGTGCATTGTTTCAATGGAATTAAAGTTATTTGACTGATCCAGTGAGTTTATAACGTTTTTTTATTTTTCAGCTCTGAAAAATCAATAAAATGTCTAACGAAAGAGTGACATTAGCGGATGCTCTATCTAACGTAGAGATTTTGGATGAAAGGCCTTTACCAGACGAACAACCGTAAGAAACCTTTAATTAGTATATTTATTTCCTTAAAACAATTTTTTTTATTATTCAATTAATAGATTAATTGAAGCATCAACATGCTCCATTACCTTTCATGCGAATTTTGATACCAACTTTGAAGATCGCAATGGATTTGTTACTGGAATAGCAAAATATATAGAGGAGGCAACAACTCATGCAAATCTGGTAATTATCAATTAGACCGTGAAAGCAAATCTACTGACTACATTTCAATTTTCTTTAATGAGTTGATCTATGAGTCATCACTATTAACATGATATTATTCATTCTTATATTTATATAGAATATATTGCTTGATGAGGGTCAGAAGCATGCTGTTATGCTTTATACATGGCGATGTTGTTCACGAGCGATTCCACAGCCAAAATCAAATGAGCAACCTAATCGAGTGGAAATTTATGAGAAGACTGTAGAAGTTCTTGCACCGGAAGTCAATAAACTATTGAATTTCATGTATTTTCAAGTATGTATTAACTGGTATTAACATCAATGTTTTTCAAGTCACTTGTTTTAATAGAAAAAATAATTTATGTCAATTTTTTTTTAGAAAAAAGCAATTGAAGTTTTCTCAGTTGAAATAAAACGATTGTGTCATGCTGAAAAACGGAAAGATTTCGTGTCTGAAGCATATCTATTGACACTGGGAAAGTTCATAAATATGTTTGCAGTTTTGGACGAATTGAAAAATATGAAATCTAGTGTTAAAAATGATTATTCTACTTATCGACGTGCCGCACAATTTTTAAAAGTTATGTCAGATTCTCATACACTACAAGAATCACAAAATCTGTCAATGTTTTTGGCCACACAAAATAAGATTCGCGATACAGTGAAAGATACATTAGAGAAAATTCCCGGATTTGAGGATTTGATTTGTGAAGTTGTTAACATTTGTGTGCACATGTTTGAGCAGAAAATGTATTTGACACCGGAAGAGAAGCATATGCTTGTTAAAGTTTGTGGTTTTGGATTGTTCTTAATGGATTCAGAAATGTGCAACATCAATAAGCTTGATACGAAGAAAAAACTAAGATTGGATAGAATCGATCGAATCTTTAAGAATCTTGAAGTTGTTCCACTATTTGGGGACATGCAAATTAATCCATTTAACTACGTTCGAAAAAGTAAACATTTCGATGCAAGTAAATGGCCTCTATCGACATCACAAGCAATTAGTCCACAAGCTGATATTATGGTTCATTTACCAAACATAAGGGAAGAACATGTCAAATATATTTCAGAATTGGCAAAATATAGCAATGAAGTGACAACAACTTACACATATAAAGAGAATCATTCAGATTCTGAAAACCGTGCTGTAACTGATCTTGCACTTCGTGGATTACAATTATTATCGGAATGGACAAGTGTTGTTACTGAACTTTACTCTTGGAAATTATTACATCCAACAGATCATCACCAAAATAAAGAATGCCCATCAGAAGCTGAAGAATATGAAAGAGCTACAAGATATAATTACTCATCGGACGAAAAGTATGCATTAATTGAAGTAATTGCTATGATTAAAGGACTTCAAGTTTTAATGTCTCGTATGGAAACTGTGTTATGTGATTCCATTCGTCGTCACATTTATTCTGATTTACAAGATTTCGTTCAGATTGCATTAAGAGAACCATTAAGGAAAGCGATTAAAAATAAAAAGGACTTGATCAGATCAATTATTATGTCTGTTCGTGAAACATCTGCTGATTGGGCAAGAGGATGCGAGCCGCCAGATGATCCAGCAAATAAGGGGAAAAAAGATCCTGACAATGGTTTCCAAATTAAAGTTCCCCGTTTAAATGTTGGACCCAGTTCGACTCAATTGTATATGGTTCGTACAATGCTTGAATCATTAATTGCAGACAAGTCAGGAGGTAAGAGGACACTAAGGAAAGACATTGATGGTCCATGCTTGAGTCAAATTGATCAATTTCATAAAAGTTCTTTTTATTGGACTTATCTGATGAACTTTGGTGAAACTTTACAAAAATGTTGCGACTTATCACAATTATGGTATCGTGAGTTCTATCTGGAAATGACAATGGGAAGACGTGTAAAGAAATGTACTGTACGCCATCAGCACAACGAGGAATGTAATGATTTAATTACAATGGAGAAACGCATTCAATTTCCTATTGAAATGTCAATGCCATGGATTTTAACAGATCACATTTTGCGAACAAAAGAACCGTCAATGATGGAATATGTTCTATATCCACTTGACTTGTACAACGATTCAGCACTCTATGCTTTGACAATATTCCGAAAGCAATTTCTATATGATGAAGTCGAAGCTGAAGTTAATTTATGTTTCGATCAATTTATTTTTAAATTGTCAGAGCAGATTTTCGCTCACTATAAACAATTGGCAGGAAGTATATTCCTAGATAAACGTTTTCGTGTCGAATGTGAAGTTCTTGGCTTTAATTTCCAATCATATCCAAAAAATAATCGATATTCAACTTTATTAAAACAACGTCATGTGCAATTATTAGGAAGATCCATAGATCTCAATAAATTAATATCACAACGCATTAATGCTGATATGCAAAAGAGTTTAGAATTAGCGATTTGTAGATTCGAAGCGTCCGACATCACTGGCGTGGTAGAATTAGAAGCTCTTTTACAAGTTAATCGTTTATGTCACAAATTGTTGATTAAGGAAGGACTTGCACTTGATGACTATGAATGTATGCTTAATGAGGCAAATCATAATGTCTTAGCTCCGTATGGAAGAATAACACTCCATGTTTTTGACGAATTAAATTATGACTTCTTATCAAATTATTGCTTTAATGCTGCAACAAATCGTTTTGTCAGAAGTAAATTACAAATATCAGGTCAACCCGTGCAACGAGAAAAGCCTCCTCAAATGTTCCATTACTTTTTATGGGGAAGTAAACAACTAAATGCCGCATACTCAACACAATATGGACAATTTACTGGTTTCGTTGGTATTCCTCATTTCCGTGCGATATGCAGACTTCTCGGTTATCAAGGGATAGCTGTTATTATGGACATTATTTTAAAAGACATTGTTAAACCCCTTGTTCAAGGCAATTTATTGCAATTCACCAAAACACTAATGAACGCTATGCCAAAAGTATGTAAATTGCCGAGATGTGATTATGGATCACCAGGAGTCCTTGAATACTATCAAGCTCATTTGATTGATATAGTTCAATATCCAGACGCTAAAACAGAGTTCTTCCAATTATTCCGTGAAATTGGGAATTCAATTTTGTTTTGTTTATTAATTGAACAATGTTTGTCTCAAGAGGAAGTCTGTGACTTGCTACATGCCGCACCATTTCAAAATATCTTACCACGACCGCACTGCAAGGAAGGTGAAAAGCCCGAGGCAAAGCAAAAACGTCTCGAACAAAAATTCGCCTCATTACAAATCGTCCCAAATATCGAGAAATTAGGTACGGCTAAACAAGCACTCATAGCCCGCGAAGGAGATTTATTGACACGTGAACGACTTTGTTGTGGATTGAGTATCTTTGAAGTGATTCTGCAAAAATTCAAAACCTATTTGGATGATAATGTTTGGATTGGTCCACCGCCTGCAAATGGCGTTATGCATATTGATGAATGTTCAGAATTCCATCGTTTATGGTCAGCTCTTCAATTTGTTTACTGTATTCCTGTCGCATCAACCGAATACACTATCGAGTACGTTAACATTTGAAACTGAATCAAAAATAATTAATAATTTGTTGTTTAATCTAGGGAGCTTTTTGGTGAAGGTTTACATTGGGCAGGATGTGCTATTATTGTCATAATGAATCAACAAAGAAGATTTGAAGCCCTCGACTTTTGCTATCACATTTTAAGAGTTCAACGAGTTGATGGAAAAGATGGAACTGTGAAAGGAATTAATTTAAAGAGAATGGTCGATCGCATTCGCAGATTTCAAGTATTAAACTCACAAATATTTGCTATATTAAATAAATACATCAAAAACAGTGAAGGAGGTACGTTTTAAATGCATTTTTAAATAACTTTATTATTATAATTGATTCAATGTTATTAACTTTTTTTTTCAACAGAATCAAATGTAGAGCATGTGCGATGCTTTCCACCACCCATTAGTCAACATGCTCAAGGAAGGAATCAAAAAATTTATGATTAAATTATAATAGTATTCACTAGTTATATGTATGACATACAATAATTCATAAAAATTAACTCGTATCTCGCTTTTAAATTTTTTAGCATGCCTATTGCAAAATAAGCAAATTAAATTTATTTAAGACCTTGATTATTCAAGATTTTCCATTTTCACATAAACTATAACTCTATGTATAATTCAAATTATATTAAAGGCATTACAAACTTTTTACATACTTATATTGAGTTTAATATAACCCAATTGTCTTTAATTTTTTGGATTGTTTTTATTTTCAGGAATTCAATTAAAATTAATTACATTTTTCAGAACAATTCCGGATATTTACTTAAACATACATTTAAAAAGCATCAATGTGTTTTGGACACATTTCTGTAACTTTGTCATTTTTAACTAATTCAATATTTTTCTTTGACGCTGCTAATCATGAACAAAAATCACGCAAGACTTGAATTCTTCTTGGCTAATTGATTCACTTAAAGGAAATAAATTTAAAATCCAAACACGTTTTTCTGTAGCATCAAAACTGCTTTATACTTTCTCAACAGTGAAATATTGCGAAAACAACAGACATCATATTCTAGTGACATTTCCAAAAAAGAAAATACTTCCTATTTTAATTTTTTCTCAATGTCCATATTAATGTTTTTACATAAATCCAAAAAAGTACTGGAGCTTTGCAAGTAAAATTCTATTTTGTGGAAATCTACAAATTGTCTAATCGAGTACGACGATAGCCAACGAGTTAATCCTACTCTTAAGCGATTAGTGACAAACAAGGAGAGACTAAGAATGGAATTCATGTGCAAAAAAGAATCAATGAGCTACAATTTTTTTTTATCAAAAAACACAATTGGATATAAAATAATATGAACCGTTAAATCCAAAAGGATTAATAAGTAAGCAATCCTAATGTATTTCCGAGTTCTAAAATTCATCAAGTAAAATGATGAGCGCAGCAGATTCAATGAAGACAAACATTTTTTAGCCTTAATCGAATCAAATTTCACTCAATTGCTTTAAAATGGAACTGACTGTTTTTATTCCATACACAGTAATCAATAGAGATTATTGATTCTTCTTATTAACAAGAGAAAAATGCGCTTAGTCATTCAGAAAAACCTAAAAAGGAAGCAACAGAATTTTATCCCTTCCGTCCGTAAATTTTCGTGTTTGGGTTGGCAGAAGCATGCTTTAAAATGCTACTTGATTTTCGAAAAGTTGTGTCATACTCGTATCAATGACCATGTTCTGACTTATGAAAAATTAATTTTCACAGATACAATAAGTGGAGGTAAAAAAAAATACAGATTAAATTTCCTTTGGGCTATAAATAGTACATCAACTAGCTACTCATTTAACATTATACGAGAATATATGGAATGAATCAGAACTCCCAAGAGAAGTAAAACAAAAAAAAAATTCATTTTGCGCACAATCTCAAGCCTATATTGAAATATTTCCCCTGTAAGTTTTTTTTTTTTGATACTCTATATCGCGAGAGCATTTATGTCATTTAAAAGGGACCTTCTCATCTCGTGACATTTGCATACTTTTTCATGCATTGTTTCCGAGAGTTTTCGTAAAGGAGTGCAATCATAAACAAATAATTTATGGTTATTGACTATGTCAGAGATTTTCTAATTACAGATTAATGTCTCTAGGGAATCAATTACAACCTTACTAAGTTACTAATTAGCATCTTAGCACGTTTTCTTTTAAATAATTTTACATTGATATAGAGTAATGTTGTCAAAACTGTGTTTGCCGTAAAATTTTTTGGTACACAACACGAGCCGCATGTTGTGTGCGACTTTGGTCATAGCTTGTCCCCAAGATGCACAACTGTACACTTTTAAGTATTTCAGTTTGTGTTAAATACTTTCGTGTCGTATCTTAAATATTCAACAAGTTTTAAAAAGAGTCAGCACTTAAAAAAATCGAAGGAAAGCCACGAGGTAGCGCCGGATGCTATTTGACAATTATTTTGTTTTATGCAGGACAATCGGCTTATTTTGTATCTAATTGGGGGGAATTTAAAAAAAAAAAACAAAATTTCGCCTTTCTATGTCAAACATTTCAAAGCCGATTATCCAGGGTTTTTATTCTGCTTAAAAAACATTTGTGAGACTCTTTTAATACTTTAATTTAATAATGAAAAATTGCCAAATAACGGTTTTCTTATTTGCATTCCTATAATCGTAACAAGATGTAAATTAGAGATTCTAAATCTCAAACTTTTAACGGCTTTTTGAAATTTAAAACTAGTAATGAAGCCGATCACGCTTCATGGGAATATTCAAACAATCCTATAGAACTCTCTATGTATTGTTCAGAAAATCTTGAAAAATCTTCTCTCAATAAAATGTAAGACTTAATATCAACATTTTGCTGAACTTGAAAACAAGATCCAGTAAAGTTTTAATCATTTCTGCAACAAATTATCATGATTCAGTAAAGTTTTAATCAAATCTGAAATAATAAACCTAGATCCAGTTACGTTTTAATCATGTCTGAGGTTTGAAAACAAGATCCAGTAAAGGTTTGATCATGTCTGAAGCAATAAACCAAGATCCAGTTAAGTTTTAATCATGTCTGAAGCTTGAAAACAAGATCCAGTAAAGGTTTAATCATGTCTGAAGCAGTCTGAAGCAATAAACCAAGATCTAGTTAAGTTTTAATCATGTCTGCAACAAATTATTATAATTCAGTAAAGTTTTAAGCATGTCTGAAACTTGGAACCAAGATCCAGTAAAGTTTTAATCAAATCTGAAACGATAAACCTAGATCCAGTTAAGTTTTAATCATGTCTGAGGTTTAAAAAAAAGATCCAGTAAAGGTTTGATCATGTCTGAAGCAATAAACCAAGATCCAGTTAAGTTTTAATCATGTCTGCAACAAATTATTATAATTCAGTATGCTTAAGCATGTCTAAAACTTGGAACCAAGATCCAGTAAAGTTTTAATCATGTCTGCAACAAATTACAATGATCCAGTAAAGTTTTAAGCATGTATGAAACTTGGAACCAAGATCCAGTAAAGTTTTAATCATGTCTGAAGCTTGAAAACAAGACCCAGTAAAGGTTTAATCATGTCTGCAACAAATTATTATAATTCAGTAAAGTTTGAAGCATGTCTAAAACTTGGAACAAAGGTGCAGTACAGTTTAAATCATGTCTGAAACTTGAAACCATGATCCATTAAAATTAGAGAAAAAGTTCTAAGTGGGCTTTGACAATTACAATTTCAATTTTATAATTAAGAAAATAAGAAAAATTTCTTAGTGAACTTTGAAAATTTGTTGATTGTGAAAGATCATTGTGAAAATTTGATTAAATAATTTAATTTGTCAAAAATTTAATACAGTCCACTTGAAAAATTGAAATTGAAATTGTGCTATCGTTGGAACCAAGATCCAGTAAGTATACAGCAAGAAAAAAATCAATTCTGGAACCAAAAACATATTTCCATTATGATACAAGTAAAGTATGTATTCAATAACATAGATCCAGTAAGCTGAATCTTGTGAAGGAACTCGCTAGTTCCAACATTTTTTCACATACATTTAACTTAGTGCATACTGTCACAACCATTTTATTAATATCAAACTACTACCAACAAATATTTCCGTTGTAAACATAAAATTAATATGTTATGTAATAATCGGTTAAACTTTTCCCATACAAAAATGTTTATGCATCTTTTGCCTCACTGGAAGCACCTTATGACTCCAAAAACAATACAGTTCTTGCGATAGCCATTATCTATCAGAAGCAAAAAACTGGAAGTCTTAATATTGAGTTTGAATCGAGTTATCGCACCGATTAACAAACAGAATGCCTTTTCTTGCGATTTCTCTGAACTGGAACTGCCAAATGAAAAATTGTTTTCACCATTAGATAGGTATTTCGAGGCACAAACTTTTACATATCAGATATTTGGGTTGATTCCGTAAGCCTGAAACAGAAAGTTAAAAAAACTGATTTTCCGAAAAACCAAAAACAATATATTCACAAAAATTGAAAATTTTGTGTGGATATGATTATTGAAAGTTGTACAAATATTATGTAAAAATATGCTTAGCCTTTTTTAATTTAATTGTACTGTAATTAAGCATTTTTGAGTTTCCAAAATGCTTGATTATTGTATTGTCATCGGAAAGATAAGTGCATGCAAAATTTCAGCTCGATTAGAGCTGTAGAAGTGGTCGAAAAATTGATCGCAAGATTTGACCTCGACAAACAGATAGCCAGATAAGAAAGCAAGTTAAGAACAAGTAGTGTTGCAAATGTAGATGTCTACACTAGATGAAGAATGTAGATTCTTCAATAGTTTTTGTCTAGCTAAGAAACTTTCTTCATAAAGATCGATTCTATATGAAGATAGAAAATCTAATCTACACAAAGATTATTTCTTCATAAAGATTCTGTCTACATAAAGATTCGATGTAGATGTCTACAATTCTACATTTTTTCCAGGTCTACATCAGAGAAGAATGTAGAATTGTAGACATCTACATCGAATCTTTATGTAGAAATAATCTTTGTGTAGATTAGATTTTCTATATTCATGTAGAATCGATCTTTATGAAGAAATTTCTGTCTCAGAATTTATCTGATCCAGAATGCAACACTGAGAACAAGTTAAGAAAAACGTGGTAAAAATTATCGTCCACCCTATACATCAATATTAATTTAATAAAAAAGAAATTCATCATGAAGTTATGATGTGCATGTAAACTTGTTCTCATCCGCTATATGTAGAATATTCTACAATGTTTACATCAATAATTTACAACAATTGATTTGGTTACTTGTTGATTAATTCGATTTGAATTTATCGAACTGCATGTCCTTGATCCTGATAAAATTAAATTTTAACCCTTTCGTGTGAAATGTTTTGAAAGTTTCAATGAATTTATTGCTAGATAATAACTTTTGAGAAAAAAAATCCAAGAAACTTTCGAAATATAGGGAAGATAATTTATTGAAACAAGAAAATGCCTACATAAAGCAATAGATTTTCTCCAAAGATTCTAATCTATTCTTTAGTGCAGAACAAAATTCTATTAATTGGTATTACGATTGCAGCGAATTTCAGGATTTTTTTGATTGGCTCTTGACTCGATTGTAAGCGGGAGGGGGGTGGTTCTAGTAAAACTTTTGTAATGTACAGTTGAATCAAATTACGCCTAAAGCAAATCCTATAATTTTTCTA